GACGAACAGGTTCTCAAAAAAAGAAAAAAAAGAGTTAGAAGTTTTTGAAGCATTAGCCGCAAGCTACTTAAATGCCCAGCACTAGAGTACCCACAGGCAGATACTGTCGTTTATGGCAGACAAACTCTCTCTTAACGAGTTGAGAAAGTTTTTACCAACAATCTCAAGATATCGTTACAATATAGCAAGGAGACATCGGCTGTTACATGGGAGGGGTGCTCCAATTTCTGTTAACATTAATGACAGATTGAGAGTAAACCATGCAAAGTTGGAGCATTTCATTACCAGCCCTCACGTCATCCAGGATGTTCCTTTTGGAGAGAAGATTATAAAATTGTCAACTGGAGAGGCAATAACAACTCCAAATGTTATCAGAACAATGATTCCTGAGGGAATCGTCCAGCAAAACCAGCAGTACTCTTCTGAGACCAGCTTCACATGCCTGAGCAGGAGCATGCTACATAGGATCTTGAATGTATGTTCAGCTTCGACGCGGAAGTCTCTTCAGGGTCTTGACAACTTTTCAGCACAGGGATCCCAAGCATTTGATGACTTGGCAAAGCTTGTCGACAAGCTTGTTGAGTATGCCGAGCCTCACGAATGGGGAGGCAGTATTAAGAAACCATTACCATCATCAAAGGAATATCTAAGGGGCGATTATAAAGTAAAATTGATATTTTGTACAATATATGAAACAACTTATCGCGTGTATACTCAAGTTCTGCAAAAAATTTATATTACGTCAACGTGAAATCCATCATCAAGCAGCAAGATCGGCCTCATAACCCTCAGTCTGAAATTACAATAGAAACAGTCGCGCCTCAGCAAATACTATACAGACGCTGAAGCCCGAGGCATGGTCCCTTAAATTCAACCAAAACATAAGGGCTTTTTCTTGAGCAACTGCATGACTCACCTTAACAGCTCGACCTTACTATACTTTAAGTACATATCATGCAATCCAAAAAATAGTTCCCGTAAACAAGAGCTTACCTCACAGATATAGGGAAAAGTCTTGCATGGTTTAAAATGCAAGGATGAATGTTGAGCTGTATCTTATCAATCACTTTATTGTATAATTATTTACTTAATAATATCCATCATGCTACCTTTTGTTCTCACTTTTAGTTTACTGATCATTAACCGAACATGTTGATTGAAATTTAATTTCTTGGAGCCGTTATAGTATTCTCTTTCAGAGTATTCTCTTGTTGGCCCTGAGGATTGTTAATTTCATTAGCCAAAATGTTGGCCTCCAAAAAAATCAGCCCTTTGCAGTTTTTCCAGCCTGGCATTCACTTTCTTTTTTAATTCTCACATCAAGTGACGTCTGTCATAAGCATCTCTGCATTAGAGGTCCAGCAAAACAGAACCAGTCGCATTTAGTGGACATCTGCATTCAAGGGTTTTTGCAAAAACTAGCCTTGCTGTAAAATCGACTACAAAAAAAGTTTACTTAAAAGGCCATGGGCGTGCTGGTTTGTTAGCAGCGTTTAACAAAGTGGAGATAAAAACTAGCTGAGACAAACTGACAGCTGTGCGTGCTTTGTTAATAACAGGTACACTCGATTGAGGCCTCATCTGTTGCAGACCATTGTCTTATTTACGCCCTAAGTGATCCAACCAACGAAGAGTACTGACGTACCTGCAACCATGTGCACAATGATTCTTGTCCACAGTGCTCTCAATTGCAAACCCTCTTAAGGTGGCTCCGTAATTAACCCAAGAGCATTTAACTGTGACAAATTTTCAGTCATAACTTTTTCGATTTTAACGCGATGGCCGCGAAACTTTGCAATTAACAACAGATATCATTCAGCAATAATACGAAATATTCCGATTTCATTGATGGTAAATATTTCTTGAGAAATTAGCGCTTAAAAGGACCCTACTGTTCAAAGAAAATCGCGTCTAGAAAAATCGTTGGAGCAGAAGTCCGTAACTAAAAGTCGGTCAAAATTCAGCTGTGAAATTGTTTTGGAATTTCAAAAATAAATTACTATCAGAAAGAAGGAGACACCAGTTTCAATTTTCGGGACAAGCAACTTCAGTGTGTTTCCTAATTCTGAAAACAGAAGCCGATTGCCTATCGTGCTATTCTTTAAAAGGTACTTTTCAGTTTTAGAAGCACTATAAATTGCTCGAAACTTTGCTCTGACATCGAATGACTTGTTCCTCGACATTTTTAAAATATCCCTTGGCAATTTTGGTTCAACCTCCTGCTACATACATTTTGATGTATTGCAAAGCCTCCCCAACGGCTTTTCGTGCTTTACGTTGTTTCCAATTCAGGAAAAAGGTATTGGGATTGTAAGCTACCTAGTATCGAAGCTCAGATAGAACTGTCCAGTGCCTTTGTTTATGACCAGAAAATGAGCACGAGCGGCAGCTCTGCGAGGAATTCGCACCTCAGCCAGGGGGGACGAGTGACAATGATGCCCATGTCTGTGAATCGATCTGTATAAACATGTATTGCGGAGCAAAACATAATAATCAAGAAAAAAATACCCATTCATTGAAGGAAGGAGTGACAAAAATTTCAGAGTTGTAAATTTATTAACGGGCAGTATTTTTGCGATAATTTTATTTTGCACTGTGATGTTATTTGGATCACAAGCATGGTCATCATTGTCGTTCGTCCCCCCTGGGTGAGGTGCGAATTCCACGCAGAACTGCCGCTCGTGCTCATTTTGTAGTCATAAACAAAGGTGCTGGACAGTTCTTTCTGAGCTCTGATACGAGGTAGCGTCCAATCTCAATACTTTTTTCTGAGTTGGAAGCAACGAACGGCAGTAAAAGTCGTTGAAAATGCATGGCAATACATCAAAATGTATGCAGCAGGAGTTTGAGCCAAAACTGCCAAGGGATATTTGAAAACTGTCGACGAACAAGTCATTCTACTTCAGAGCAAGGTTTGGAGCAATTTATAGTTCTTCTAAAACTAAAAAGTACCTTTCAAAGAATAGCACGATAGGCAATCGGCTTTTGTTTTAAGAATTAGCAAGCGTTGAATTTACTTGTCCCTAAAATTCAAACTGGTGGCTCCTTCTACCTGATAGTAATTTATTTTTGAAATTCCAAAACAATTTCACAGCTGAATTTTGACCGACTTTTAGTTACGGACTTCTGCTCCAACGATTTTTCTGAAATTCCTCTGGCATATTTATTATATCCTTTAAAGCCGATACCAGAAATTTCAGTAAAAAATATCAGCAAAATTTTTTACTAGACGCGATTTTCTTTGAACAGTAGGGTCCTTTTAAGCACTAATTTCTCAAGAAATATTTACCATCAGTGAAATCGGAATATTTTGTGTTATTGCCGATTGATATCTGTTGTTCTTTGCCAAGTTTCGCAGCCATCGCGTTAAAAACCAAAAAGTTATGACGGAAAATTTGTCACAGTTAAATGCTCTTGTATTAATTGCGGAGCCATCTTAAGTACACTAGAGCAAAAGTGTTCTAGTGAACAACTTTCGGAGGAAGATAGGGTTGAAATGCTTCATGTTTTTTGTCAAGCAAAAGAGGATATTTTTGGAAAGAACAAGTCCTATTTTACATATCTCTAGGTGCACAGACCTGCATTTTGCTTTTTGTCCGAATAAGGCTTTTTCGAAAATGGCATAATTTTCGTGTTTGTAACCGTGAAATTTGAACTTTTTAGGTCGAGAACTGTTTTGATTGTTTCCAACCCTTTAAAATAATATTTCACAAAACTAACCTCATTTGATTTCATTGCACACCATAGGCACACTGTACTCAAAAAATGACGGAAATCGATTTTTGACTGTGGCCACGATTTTCCGATTTTGTTTGATTTTTACAAACATTCACTCTTAAGTTTTTTTGATCCTGAAATTTTCGAATCTGTATTTCTAGAAATTGAACAGCCCCATCAAGGGAATATAATTGTTGGAGTTATCCCGTTAAAACTATCTCCAAGATGAGTGAACTGTTAGCTAAAATTTCTAAGGAGCCTAAATCATGTACCTCTTTGGAGACTAATTTTGATCTTTTAAAAATACCATAACAACAACATTGCTCGACTAGTGAGTTTTTAGACTGTATGTTTTCCCATAGTTTCCTTCCACTTATTTCACAACCGACACGAATTACATCTCATACTGCCACTCTCATTGACAAGATTTTTACCAATCACCTTCCTCATGCTGCCATAAATGGTATCTTCTTTGCTGACATCTCTGATCATTTACCTATATGATTATCCTTAAAGTTTTTGAGTCGCTAACTGTACATTTTATTTTGGGTTGCGCCCCCACATTTCACGTCCAGATAAATTTTTGTTAGTTATGGATGTTTCAGTGTATTGTTATTTCAGTTTTTACATGATTCCAAGCCACATCATTTAAGAATTATAAAAGAGTAGACTGGCCTTTGGTTGAAATTGTAGTAAAAGCCCTCATCCTCGTGTGGTCTGAGAGTGAATTTGTGTTTGTATTGATCGACTTGCCTCCACTCCCGCTACAGTAAAAATTCTTTGTTGGTACACACATGAGACAATAAAGTATTGATTGCACCGATCTAGGTAAAATGGCCACTGGCTATGATTTCCAGAGCATTAGTGGATCCTCTAAGAAAAGAACTCGCAATCTGACAGCAAAAGGCAGGCAATTCCAGAGGCAATTGTATGAAGATCAAAGGCTGGTGTAGACAGATAAATAATATCGAAAACTGTGTCGCTGACTCAACTGATCCAAGCAAAGTGCAAAGCGAGAGAAATTTTCTGGGATCTACAATGAATATCTTAGTCTCTGTGCAGGAACAATTTCTAGACATGATGGAAGATTCAGAAGCAAAGAGCGTTGCACAAGATAAATTTGAGATGTGGGAACGTGAGCACTCAGATGCACTAAAATGAGTTAACTCGAAAATAACAGAGCTTAATAACAAGAACCAAAGCTTATTCTCTTCAGTGACAGCTTCTTCAGGCCACAAACGTAAAGTTTCACTTCATAGTATGAAGTCACGCTCGAGCGCAAAATGTCACAATCATCAGCTATAATAAATCAGAAAACGGAAACTGCTGTCAAACTCACCAAGATAAAGACAGAACTGAATTTTTCAGAAGGTGAAGCAACAAAGGTTGCAGAATTAAAGAAGTTTAAGCTTACGAAAGAATTAGCTATAGTGCAAGCTGAAATGAATGCCATCACTAAGGTAGAAGAGAGCAAGCTAGGCTTAAATGACGGAAATGGCGGAGCCACATTACCCGGATTTATCACTAAAGGCGATCTCCTACAAAATTATCTCGTACAAAATTATCTTGTGACACAAGCCTCTTCTGTAGCTATAGACAGCCCTTCAACTCTGCAGACAGGTCTAATGGAAACAAAAAATCCCCTTCTGTCAAGTACATCTTTCCCTGTCACACAGTCACACGAAAACGACCAACTGGAACCGAGAATCGAAGATTCTAATAACCCTGGGTTTCCTGTGATAACATTGAATCCCTTAGAGCAAGAATACGTCACTTTGTCAACACCTAAGAACGCGGAGCGCACAAAAGTCTGCCTATCATGCCTATCATGCCTATCATGCAATGCAAACAATCGACTCCAAATAGCATGGGACTTAACTTCGATCAAGGTGTAAGTTCTCCGAAGCAAACAACTGGAGATGTCCTCAAACGGTTAGCTGACCTGATGACTCACCATTACACACATGTATAGGAGTCGTTGCCATTACCCGAACCAGAAACTTTCAAAGGAGATCTTTCGCATTATCCTTCATGGCGAAAATCCTTTGACACCATTGTGGAAAAAAGAACCGACAGTCCATCTCGGTGCCTCTATTACCTTGGAAGATACACAGCCGGCGAAGCCAAGGAAGCAATAAGCAGCCTTCTTACCTTGGAAAGCAGGAGTGCCTACAGGAATAAGACAAATGATTAGCCTCGGATTCTTCCTAAAGACAGTAAGTCTTCGAAAATTCTCAGACTTTTTGGTTAACTGTCAGACAGCCATGAAAGAGATTCATTATCTGGCAGCATTGAACGATCCAAAAGAGTATCAGAAAATGATTAGTAAACTTCCGTGAAACATCTGCGATCGGTGGGGTCGCGAGGTGGATCATTGGCTTAACATGGAAGGACAAGAACTCCAAGAGCCAACAGCCAGAGAGTCTCCCAACCCCCCTTTCTCGGCTTTCTGTGACTTCCTGAAACGTGAAGCTAGAATTGCCTGCAATCCGGTAACAATGGCAAGAGCTGAGGAAGAGGTAAAGAAGGTGGAGACGTCTCAACAGAGACTTGTAAAATTCAGCAGCCGGAAGAAGGAGCCGTTAGGAGCGAACAGCCTCGCTACTGGCTCAGAAGAGGTGACCAGCATGAACAAAGGTGAAAGAAAACAACCTGAACGATGTTGTTTATATAAGAACACCAACAATCTGAACGAATGCGACAAGTTTAAGAAAATGTTGCACACGGAAAGAATAGAATTTGTCAAGTCCAATGTTCTTTGTTTCTCAAGTACAGGCACATGAAGAAAGACTGCTGAGGGAAGAAGGTCTGCTCGACTTGTAAAGCTTTCCATCCAACGTCCTTACACACAAACGTACCAAAACCCAAAGGAAAACCAGGAACCTCTCCAAAGAACTCATCCATGGACGTCATGTCACATCACGTAAACACTCACAAGCCTGGGGATGGTGGCTTTTGCGACTCTCACTCTTTAATTGTTCCTGTCTGGCTTTACCAAAGAGGCTACCCTGAGAAGAAAGAATTAGTTTACGCCCTCCTCGACAACCAGTCTGATGCCTGTTTAGTAACAGAAGAGATCCTTCAGAAGCTAGCTATTTCCTGACCTCAGGTTCAGCTGAAACTGTCAACAGTGTTAAAAGAAGACTTGGCTGCCTGTCAAAAGATTAATGACCTCGTTGTACGTGGTGTAAATGAAAATCAAGAGGTTATGCTCCCAAAGGCGTATTCACGGAAAGATATCCCAGCCAAACCAGGCCAAATTCCAAGCGTATTGACGAACACCCATTGCCATACCAAGATGACGCTTATGTGGGTTTGCTGATTGGGGCAAACTGTACCAAAGCAATAAAGCCAAGAGAGGTGATTCCTGGCACCAATGACGACCCGTATGCAGTGCGAACAATGTTAGGATGGGGCGTTATTGGAGTGATCAACCAGTCAATCGTAGACAGCCAGGAAAACAGCCATTGCTCCTGCAACTGCATAGTGTCGCGAGAAATTGAAGACAGCTTCGTGAAGACTGTAAGTCACGTGGTAGCAAAGATTTCAGTTAAGGAATTGTTCATACCGGCACAAGTTAACAAAATGTTTGAGCCTGATTTTAGCGAAGTCTCTAAGGAAAAAAAGATGCTCTCGTTTCTTGACCGAAGATTCTTGAACACTTTAGAGTCAAACGTCCAGCACTTGAGTAACGATCACTATGAAATTCCATTGCTACCGAAGGAAGAAGCATTGAAGCCACCAAACATCCGAAACTTGGCATTACGCAGACTCCACAGACTCAAACACAGACTCAAGAGTGATAGCAAATACCACAGTCATTACGAGACCTTCATGAAAGACATGATCGACAAGGGACAGGCTGAGAAGGTGCCTGACAACGAACTCCATTTAGATAACGGTCATGTTTGGTACATCCCACACCATGGAGTACACCATCCGCAAAAGCCAGATAAGATCCGTGTTGTTTCGATGCCAGTGCAGAGTTCAATGGAGAATCCCTAAACATGCATCTCTTGCAGCGTCTCGACTTGACCAACAATTTAACTGTAGTCCTCTGTCGTTTTCGCAAGGAGACTGTTGCCTTCACCTGTGACGTAGAAGGAATGTTCTACCAGGTGTATGTCCATCCTGATTACCGAAACTTTCTAAGATTCCTGTGGTGGGACAATGGAACCATGGAGAATTAGCCAGTCAAGTTCAGAATGAGAGTCCACCTTTTTGGTGCTGTATAATCCCCAGGGTGTGCGAACTTCGCACTGAAAAGAACTACAGACGACTTTGAGGAAGTATTTGACAGAAAACCAGCAGAATTCGTGAGGGATGACTTCTACGTTGACGACGGACTCAAGTCAGTCACATCAGCCACTAAAGCCTCATCCCTAATAAAGAGTACAAAGTGCTTGCTTGCTAAAGGCAAATTCAACCTCCACAAATTCATATCTAATAGTAAGGACGTGATTGAAGGCATTCCCAAGGAACAGCGAGCAAGTGGTATAAAGGAGCTGGATCTTGCCAAGGATGGTCTCCCCATCGAAAGAGCCCTAGGAGTTCAGTGGTGCGTCCAATCAGACGAACTCCAGTTCCGTGTAGAACTTAAGGACCTGCCCTTAACGAGAAGAGGGATTTTCGCTTCCGTCAGTTCAGTCTATGACCCTTTGGGATTGCTAGCCCCTTTTTTGTTGCCAGGCAAACAAATTCTGCAAGACCTCTGCAAGAACCAAACTGATTAGGATGAACCTATACCTGACATCTTTAGAACCAGGTGGGAAAAGTGGAGGGGTGAGTTGCACACTTTGGCCCAGCTGAAGATTCTTCGCTGCTATAAGCCCGATGACTTTGGCAAACCTAAGTCCATCGAACTACATAGCTTCTCAGATGCCAGCATCAGTGGGTATGGACAGTGCTCCTATGTCAGAATGGTGAACGATCAACAGAAAGTGCACTGTTCCCTGGTAATGGCCAAATCATGGGTCACACCACTGAAGCCCGTCACTGTGCCAAGGCTTGAGCTTACCGCCGCCGTGGTATCGACGAACATAAGTGCCTTCCTGCGGAAGGAATTGAAGTATGGTTGTGTCCCCAAGTGCTTTTGGACAGAAAGCAAAGTTGTCCTTGGATACATTTCCAACAAAGCAAGACGTTTCCACACGTTTGTTGCTAACAGAGTACAGGGGATTCGTGATCACACCTCCCCTGACGAATGGCACTACATTGACACCAAAGACAACCCAGCGGACGATGCATTCAGAGGTTGAGGAGCTGGAGAACTGATCAAAGCAACAGATGGTGGAACGGACCAAACTTCTTGTGGATTCCACAATTAGAAATACCAGCTTTGGAACCTCAGATTTCCCCGGAAGATCCTGAAGTTAAGAAAGCGACAGTCCTGGCAACCAAGTCCATAGAGCACTTATCTCTACTTGAACGTATTGCATATTTTTCCAACTGGTATCGCACTAAAAGGGCAATTGCAATTTGCCAGCTGTTCAGTGAAAGAATGAACCTCCGTGCAAAGAAGCCTTCAGATCCCCCCATAAGAAACGACATGGATCCACCCCTTGAAGGCATTAGAAGCGAGCAGCAAGAAAGATCCTCAAAGTGCATTACCATGACAGTCAAGGATCTCCAAAGAGCCGAGCTGCTGCTAATAAAAGAAGTCCAATGCCACGCCTTTCCAGAGGAGGTCAAGGCCTTAGAAACTCACAGGAAGGAACAACGAGGTGAGATACATCGGCTCTATCCCAGACCACTGTATCGATGTGTTTGACTGAGAGGCAAGTCAAAAATAAGAAGTCCGAAGTCGTAAGATCCTCGTTGGAAATGCCGCTGCAGTTAGCCGTTGGGATAGCTGTACACCAAGCCGTGGGAAACAAGCAGCTCGTAATGTCAGTGGACTACAACAGGATCTTGAGAGTAGAGGCCCAAGTCGAAGCTAGCGCTCTAAAGCGCATGGAGCTGAATGATGGTCTATATATACCCCCTGATTTAGTTTTGGGTAGGCACGTCTTTTTTGCGGTCGATAATGTGGATTTCGCAGAGGACACTCCTGGTGGCAAGAATACCTTCCACGGCACAGCGATGGCAATCTAGCAAAGGCAGCAACCAGGCGATGTTTCACCAGAGCTGACCGTGGATCCCGGAGATCAGTGTCGTCGCTCAATCAGACAGCTTCCCGAGTCTGTGACAACCTTGCTAGAATGTCCTGTGCCCCCAGGAAAGCCTGTTGGTCCCACCTTCCCCCAGTTTGGATTGTGTACCGAAGACAAACTTCCATTGTACATCAAGAAGCAAGATTTCACATGGCTTCTCGGACGCAGTTTGACCAGAACGATCACCAAAAGAGAAGTTGAAGAAGATCAGCCCCCTAGTACCGACATCCCAGTATGGTCTGGCTATAACTCCACTTTGAGTAGTTCCATGCCATTGACACGAGTTGGCACCTCTCCCCTGATCTCTGCACCAGCACCCGAGTGGCAGACTGCTTACCATTTTGATGCAAACACAGAGTATTAAGACGACTTGACATGGGACTCTATCAACTGGCAAAGAAGTTGCAGATGACCCGTCAAGATCTTGGGCATATAATACATTGTCCTGGTGAGGTACACATCGTGATGGACCAACTTCGCACAATCGGTGCATTCATCGAGAATAGCGGGCTGGACATGGGCTGGGTCGAGTCGAATCTCTATGGGCCTTCCACTGTGAAGCAGATTCTCGGTGGGAACCACGTGAAGAGAGGAGAAGCAGCGCACACGGTTATATTACAAGCTCTATTCAGCCTCTACCAGGAAGCCTTCTTCGTGAGACACCCAGCTGTGTTACTATTGTTAAGAAGTCGGCTAACCAGTTAAGCGATGCGTGTAAACAAGGCAACAAACAAGATATTACAGCAAAGCACAAAGAACTGGCACAGACTATCGCTTCAACAGAGCTTGCTGCAAAGATGGAGCAGGATAGTCCACTGTTCAAGTTCACTCGAGGGTACATGGCAATGGTTATGGAGATGATGACGTTTATCAGAGCCGTGCAGACTGGAGACGGGGATCTCCATTTATTTTATTATTTTGCCACACACAATGAATTACAAGCAGAATAAAAACGATAATAAATAGGTTAACTAACATTAAATTTAAAATTTGTGCATTACTTGGGAGGAGTGACTGTGGCGGGGAAATCTCCGAGAAGCGAGCTTATGAGGAATAGAGATTTCCCCCCACGGGCAATTTAAATACTAGGCGGCGTTTTAACAGCTCATGACTGTAAATATCGAGAATCGCTGGCCAGGCTAAAAAAATCGAAAATTCTGATAATTTGCCTGGAAAACCCTTTTAGGGAGATAAATTCCAAAAAAATATTTCAAAGTTTGAAAAATCAAATGTTTCCGAGAAAATGGGGAAAAACGAAAATTCGGGTTTTTACCTAATTAATTATGCGAAAAATACAGTGAAATTGACCAACTTTAGTGTGCTAGTACTGAAGAAGGATGTTTCGTAAGAAATCGGGGATGCTTTTACTTCAAAATATAATTCATTTGATTTTTATTTGTGGCATTTTAAGAAGCTTTGGTTTAATTTTAAAATTCACATGATTTTTCAACAAAGTGCTGTCAAACGCTTGTTGCAAAAAGCGAAAAATCGCGTAACTTCAAGCCTTCAAAACGCGTCTTGGTATGTGTGACATCATGTCAAACTACATGCTGGCACAAAGTTTGGTCCTTATACTCAAATAATATGAAATAAAAAATCTGGGTAATCCAGAAACGTGCCTGCAAAATGAAAGCGTTTTCGTCGCACTGTGGCCAAGGTCAGGGATTTGCATGATGCAAATCAGTTGTAGAAATCGTACTTGAGAGCTACGAAGTAAACAAGATAGTTAAAGACGGTTAAAAAATTCTTAGATATGGAAATGATATGAAATTATACGATATAAAATCCGTAGACATTGCTGAACAGGGCTGTAAATTGATGTGTAGATACGATAATTTGAATTGCAGGAGACTGTTAATGTTGACTCGCTATTTCAAAAGCACTACACCTAACTATGGAGAAGGGCCGCTGTTTTGTTCACCATTTAACGATTTTTGTTGACTAGGTGTTTATTATGGACATCATTCTTAGTGGAATAGCAACGTTTTCTGCAACTGCGATAATATTTTTCAGGTTGTGATATATCTTGGATATCTTGAAAAAAGTTATGTTAGTAAACAAAGTCACGCAACACCGCAAGCTTCTGCTGTGTAGTTTTTCACCTCAAGGTCCTCAAGTTAGCAGCCCAACTTTTTTTTTTTCGCAATTCACTCTCATCTTTTTCTTAAAGGTAAACACGTGCGAGGTTTTTCACAGAGCATAAACCATAAAAAGAAAACGATGTCATTCTGTAGCTTTGCTTCTCTTCTTGGGGGGGCTTGTGGTGCAAGTTCTGAAAATCCAAACGTGGCTGACTTTGTCGAATTGAAAGACTGTACTAGGGATGTTACAGCTCACCTGAAGAGTTGTAACATTTTGACGGATGTTGAAAGCGTCAACAACGAAAGGCAATTATTACTCACACGGGCAGGTTAGTAAAGATCATTTTGATTTACAATTTTCGATTACGACATGAATACATACCCACTATTCACTTCTACAGCATTAATTTACTAATTAAGTTTTCTTTACCAGGGATTTTCATCGCACAGGAATGTCAGTTGCATATGACGGTATGCCCTAAACACAGAGACGCGTACGGTACTCGCTGGCGAACAGGCAAGACTAGATGTTGCGTTCCAGCAGAAGTAGCGGGTCACAAGTCGACAACCTGTCGAGGTGATCGTGGAATTGACAGAAAACAATCTTGTTTTGTTTTTAAAGAAACTGGAATGCTCGTCCCAGTTGGGTCGCGTAAGTGTAGTCAAACCTTACATTACTTTAGTAGGAAAAGTATGTAAAATTAATCTAATACACTCTTATTGCTTTGACCCTCTTTCACAAATGTAACAGACGCAATGTGCAAGAGGATGAGGAACACCAACAAACGGCCGATATTGCAGACAATTAACTCAGTGGTCTCTCTCCTTGCCTAAAGTATCGCTGGAAATTCTCCTGCGGAGCAAATAGCCGACCGAAGAGCCATATAGGGGTGGAACAGGGGGTCACCTGCCGCGTTCCGTACGAGTATCTTGCATTCCCGGCTTCCACCCCTTTTTTCTTGGCTTCCTTCCTTTATCCATTCTTCGATTGCGAAATATTTAAAAGCATTGTTGCGCGATTTCCTCTCCTGCCCCCTATTCTCCCGGGTTCCCAGCCCGAATTATCCCTGCAGGTTACCTTAAAGAACGAGTGAGCGTTAATGAGTGAGAAGGACTTAGAATACCACCGCTTCTATTACCATGCTAATTTATCCGTGCCTAAAGGGACCGATCGTTTATTACGTCCCGGGGGGGGGGTTTGGGGGTACAATTTTTGAAAAGGGTTAATTTTGGGGGGGTCAGTTTTGAAAATGTAAAAAGTGTAGGGGGGGTCGAAATTTTAAGACACAGAATTGACATTATATGTTGTAGTTGTTAAAACATATCATAATTGAAACAAAAACAAAAAACACTTTTCCTTCATTAGTAAACCAAAAAGTCGCGCTGATAACTCTTTGTCGGCTACAAAATTCTACCCGCACAGAATTATTGTGCCCACTGTATTTATGATCAGAGATCACGCCCTCGCCTTCGTGGCAGCCTGGTTGCTATGTAACCAAGCTTGTCCCAGGACCCTATCAACTATTTTTACCTAACCGAACTACCCCATCTAGCTTTAATATGAAGTCGATGTCCAAAGAAAGAGAGAAAGTTGAGTCATCTTAAAACTTGGTCTAGGAAAGGTGGGGGGGGGGGTGCATTTTAAAAACTCTTATCGCTGAGAGGGGGTACAATTTTCATATGAAATTATTTTAGGGGGGTACGGTTTTCATACACCACACTTTTCTGAAACCCCCGGGACGTAATAAACGATCGGTCCCTAACTCTTCTTTGTTTCTTTTTGATCTGTAGCCATTTGCAGGCAATGCAGGGATCATCTGGGTAAAATGATGGTGTCTACTTCCACGGACTCTACAGAAACTGCCTTATCTTCACCAACAGTTGTTGTTGAACCCGTGTCCGTACAGAAAAGACAGGAAACGTTTCTATTGGTAATTGTCGTTTAAACAGATAGGCAGTCTATAGGTTTAATCAGTATCCTGCGTTAGTTTGCGATCATTTAATTAGTTTTCATATTTTTCCCTCCTATAGGAAGCCGAGGCAAGTAGTATAGAAGATATATGTGACAATGTAAAACACCTTTCATTTGACGACAGCTACATTTTTGGGTCATCCGAAACCACAAGTACAACTAGCTCCGGTGAAGTGGTTCTTCGTGCCAACAAACCTTTAAGGCTGCTTAATGAATTCCTTTCTGTGTGACGTAAAAACGGTTGATAATCCACAATTCGAGTGGTTAAAGAGTGCTGATAGAACAAAACGAAGGTACATACAACACAATAGAGATATCCTCGTCGCAGTGTTGAAGGTGGTGTCCCCCGAAAACGCAGGTTATCTTTGGTCGGCACTCCAAGCAACAAGGGCTGTCAATGATGAGCTTGGTGCAGAGGGTATAATGCTCCCATCCCAACGACTTTACCTCGAGGCCATAGCAGAAACTTACAAAAATGCCGGCAGCTGGGACACGCGGAGACAAATCCTCTCAATTATGACTGCCACTGCGAGTTTTTCTACCATATGAGAACTTATTCCCGGTCTGTCCCAGTATAGATACACTGTGGCAAACTTACATCGTCTTCAGCACGGAGTAGCGACACCCGTTCCTGTGCAGCCTTCAGCGAGGATACGGATAGACGAGGCGCAACTTGACCATTTTTTGCAGTTCATTACAAGCCCACATATTGTTCAAGATATGCCTTTTGGTCAAAAGAGTTTACGCCTGTCCAACGGTAATGTATTGGAAGTACCAAATGTGATTCGGTGTCTAATACCAGAGCGAATTGCTGTTCAATATGAGCAGTATTGCAAAGAAGTCGGATTCACCCCTTTCAGTAAAAGAACAATACTGCGTGTATTAGCTGCTTGTAGCGCGACGGTCAGAAAGAGCCTCCAGGGACTGGACTATTTTGCAGCTGATGGAGCCTCTGCATTTGACAAGATGATTGCACTCCTAAATCAACTTAAAGGCCTGGTTGAAGATACCACGCTAGGAAGATGGCAGGAAATGCTCAAGAACTCAAAACTTTACCTAAAGGCGGACTTCAAGGTAAGATATTGCTTAAAGAAATAATAGTCCAGTTTCAAGTTTGCTATGACCGATGAATGAAAGAAGTGAAGAAGCATTTTTTTACAGGCTTAGCCTCCATCTGAAATTCCCATCTAACGAGAAGAAGACCTGTTTGTTACTCCATCTATTGAGTATCTTTAAATTTCAAACACTGACTTGCCGGAATTTGTGGATATTTCATTTTATGTCTAGGCTAACCTTGTATGAATGTGTCGGTAATATAATGTTTGTATAGCTTTGTATTCAGCGGTAACTTTAAATTCGAAAATGAACTATTGACAGGTTTTTAAAGTTCATCAACTCCTTTTTTTCTCTCCCTTTTATTGATTTCAGGGTCTGTGATTTTCTCTACCCCAACCCTAGTCATCCATGCTACTTTTATAACTTTAGACTGCGAGAAGTCTCCTATTTTTCTTTGCCAAGTTACTGCATGCAAAAATCAAGGACGCGAGCGGCGAAGTTCTTGAGCCGATAAACGAGAACGTCGTGGTTTGCAATCGCTGGCGAGATAAGAATTAGACGGATTTTAAGAGAAGATGGGGACTGCAAGCAGTCTTTTATAACTTAGAAGCGTCAAGTCTTTTTTTACAAATTACAACTATAGCAATAATAGCAATAATAAGCCATTTTACACATTTGAAATGAGGGGTGTGTGTGTGGGGGGGGGGGGGGGGCAATGACTTAAGTTTTTGTTTTTCTGCGTTTACATACTAAGAAAATAATGGTATATTAATAGGTACATGTTGACGATGAGGCTACCATAGGAGATCATTGTATGTCATATGCTTTGAGTGATCCGAGTGACAGCTGTTTTCAGCAGAAATGCCAACACACCCATGGGGACCATTGTTTTCAATGTGAAGCGCTTGGTACTGTTCTAGAGGAGATTCAAGTGGCTGTTGAAGAAGCTTCTTTTCACACGAAAGATGATCATGACGAAGCCACATACTTGGTAAAACACAGCAGGGACCTTATTCATGCCTGGAAGGCTCACCAGCTCCGTACAGTGAGGCAAGACCAGTCTAGATTGAAGATTCTCAGAGAGCTAGATAGTGGTTCAGTCTTTATTACCCAGGACTGGGCCATGAAATTTCTACCGCGCAAGTACCGTGAATCTCAATCAGACTGGTTTGGTAAGCGCGGCATCTCTTGGCATATATCCGTTGTCGTCAGCCGCCGAGCTGACCAGTTTGAGTCACAAGGATTTGTACATATTGTCCAGAACTGCACCCAAGGAAGTTCCGCTGTGGTCTCCATTATGGCACATATCCTTAGAACTTTGAAATCAGAGCATCCAGAAATCAATCAAGCATTTTTTCGTCAAGACAACGCAGGGTGCTACCATAGCACTTATACTATATTGTCAGTGCCCACAATAGAAAAAGAAGCAGGAATTCGCGTTGCTGAGATAGGCTTCTCAGATCCCCAGGGCGGAAAAGGGCCTGCTGATCGCATGGCTGCAACAATTAAAGGACACATAACACGATTCATAAATGAGGGGAACAATGTTACCAATGCGAAGGAAATGGAAAACGCGATTCTATCCCATGGGGGTCTACCTGGGATTCGTGTAGTGATGTTAGACAGTCTCGGGGAACCCGAAACTGTTCCCGCAACGCAACAGAAGATTACTGGCATAAGTAAACTGAACAACTTCAGATTTTATCCCGGTGAAATGAGGGTGTGGCAGGCATTTGATATAGGCCCCGGCAAATGCATTTCTTTGGAAGGAACAAATGGTAAACCTTACGTTATATTCTCTGTGCAGTTTCTAGTTATAATGTAGCATGATCTCTCTTTAGTTTTGAGACTGAAAAATTCAGCGAGGGAAAGCTTGAAATCAAGATCACTTGAAAACATCATGCTTGGCACCAGTTTTTGTTGTAAAATTTATTTCAAGATTTGTTTTAGTTAAAACACTATACTGGAAAAAGAAACTTTTACTTGATTTAGGTAGCAGTTCACATGCTGCACCTAACGCAGGGGCGGATCTAGGGGGGGTGCAGGGGTGCGCACCCCTCCCCTGAGATGACCTGCGGTTTTCTAATACAACTGATATTCTGCCAAAAAAAAAAAAATATGTGGTTTATTGGGGTTGAAGAAGAGCAAGAGACGAGTGCACCCCCTCCTAAAAAAATCCTGGATCCGCCCCTGTAACGCTATTTTCGCAATGTGAGACGCACGAAATCTCGCTCTGGATAATGTTTAGGTATGTTTGGTTTTGTCGTTAATCTTTTCAGTGACATGTTATTATTTTCCACAGAACGCCATTACCAGAATATTTCGGTTACTTTTCCCCTCGGAGAATTTAAGGAGATCGCCCCAAGGAGAAAACTTAAAGAACCTACTAAAACTTCCACAGCGGATCTCGCAGAAGAAGAGGACTATGGCCGTGAAGCAAAAAGCGATGATCAAGTGTTTCCATGTCCAAAAGAGGGCTGCACGCGCAGTTTCCAACGGCACTGTTCTCTAGAAAAGCATCTCGCGTTCGGAACATGCACAAAGATCGTTGAAAGGGAGACACTTCTTGATAAAGCGAAGGTTAAATATGCTGCAAGGCTCGAGGAAGGTTCAAGTTCCGTGCCAACTATTCCTCTACCTCCTGAAACCTGTCCTCGTAACACTGGATATGTAACACCGCCTGAAGGCTTCGCTTTAAAACAAGTAAAGAAAGCTTACCGGTTTAACGAAAAGCAACGAGAGTATCTGACTGCTAGATTTACCATCGGACAAGAAAGCGGAAAGAAGGTCGACGCGGAAATTGTTGCAACAGAAATGAGAAGAGCAAAGGGATTGAACGGGGAGCGCTTGTTCAGTGTCTCTGAGTTTTTGACAACTCAACAAGTAGCTTCATTTTTTTCAAGAATGGCAGCAAAAGTGAAACAACAGACGGCCCCCTGCGCACAAGCTGTAACTGAGCAAGATCTGCTTGCTATGGAGGAAGAATTTAATTTATCAAATGCTAAGGAGTCTGTTTTTGAGCAGTTAAATGTAACTCATCCTATTCATTACCAACAGTACAACATCTGTTCCATGGTCAAGAATAGCACCCTCAAAAATCTCAAACTTGCAATCTTAAAACTCCTTTGCGAGTGTTTCAATCTTGCATTACCATCTGGTGTTGACCAGAGAAAAAAGACCTCTTACATCGCTCTCCTCGAAGACCTTGTAAGATGCTGCTCTTGCAGTGCAGTTTGAAAGGCAAATAGCAAAATGCTGCTTCAAAAAATTGAGTTTTATATAAACGTTGATATAAAACAGGGGTCGTAGAGCATATTTTGGATAGGAGGAGCTACTGTAGTTCCCACGTAGTGTGAGCGCATTGGCGCCAACTTATCTATGAGGGTCCTAGGGCCTCCCCTCCGAGGAGAGCCTCCTTTAGTCTGTTTCTTAGTACGCCTTTCTTAGTACAGAAAGACTGCTGACAGGGTGTCTTAGGGTATGCTCCCTCGACAAATTTTGAAATCTAGAGCTTCTGAAATCACCAGAAACGCGTTTCAATCCTAAGAAAAATTTGTCAAATTTTTTAATACAAAGATTAAAATAAATAATAAGGATAAAAATGAGAATAATAAATTGTTGTTCGTGGGGCTACAGCACACTCAACCCCATAGCTCCGCGGTCCCTTTGTCAAAGGCGCAAACCGGAAATGAAAAAGTCCCCTTCGAAGGATCAGGCCAGCTGGATGTTGTTCGATATAGACTCATAAAAGAATTTATACAAGCAATGTAAAACGAGATCTATAGGACTGGATACTTTAAAATGGAGTTTGACGAAAGAAGGATTGTGTCCGCTTTCCTCGGGAACTTTACCTTTGATCCAACATGACAATTGTCACAAAATTGAAACATCTTGCTTTTCGTCAAGACAGTTATGAGAAATGAAACAAAAAACTCATTGGCTTAAAGAAGAAATAAACTCTATTAAATACTAGGCAAAGGTAACTTGGCAAAGAAAAATAAGAGACTTCTCGCAGTCTAAAGTTATAAAAGTAGCATGGATGACTAGGGTTGGGGTAGAGAAAATCACAGACCCTGAAATCAATAAAAGGGAGAGAAAAAAAGGAGTTGATGAACTTTAAAAACCTGTCAATCATTTTCGAATTTAAAGTTACCGCTGAATACAAAGCTATACAAACATTACCGACGCATTCATACAAGGTTAGCCTAGACATAAAATGAAATATCCACAAATTCCGGCAAGTCAGTGTTTGAAATTTAAAGATACACAATAGATGGAGTAACAAACAGGTCTTCTCGTTAGATGGGAATTTCAGATGGAGGCTAAGCCTGTAAAAAAATGCTTCTTCACTTCTTTCCTTCAGCGGTCATAGCAAACTTGAAACTGGACTATTATTTCTTTAAGCAATATCTTACCTTGAAGTCCGCCTTTAGGAAAAGTTTTGAGTTCTTGAGCATTTCCTGCCATCTTCCTAGCGTGGTATCTTCAACCAGGCCTTAGCCTGCAGTGCAGGCGTATTTTGGGTGGGCGAAACCTTGTTTGTGTTCGTAATATTGTTGTAGCCGCCATCTTTGATTTTATGACAGTGGAAGATTGGGGAGAGTACAAATAGTAACCCTTACGGTTGGTGTGAGGGCGAAAGAAGGAAAGGGGGGAGGGGGAGGGGAGAAAAAAAATACGCCTGCCCCATATCATTGTTCTTTTGGGAAACTCCGTACGCTGGCAAACGGAGCTCCTGATTGGTGCGGCATAGGAAAGTAGATTGATGCCTGACAATTAAGTGTAAAACTGTATTGTTTATTCCGTCAGTCTTTTGGAATTGGAGCGGCTGGGAATGTCGCGTGTACTACACAATGAGAAACTCCAGCTTGTTTTTCTTTGGACTGGAGCGACTGTTTGGTTGTTTTGTTCTTGTCGGCTACTCATTTCCGGAAGAGCGGTCATGCGCGTCTAATTAGGGGGTGTTTCTCATTTTCACAGTGTTTTCGGGCAGGCGTTTTCTCTTCTCTCTCCCCGCCCCCTCTCCGCTCCCTTTGACTCGCCCCACCTCCTCCTCTATTAGGGAATTTTCAACATGGCACTTTCGCGAGCAAATTGCGCGCTCAAAGAAAACGCCTGCACTGCAGGCTAACCAGGCCTTTAAGTTGATTTAGGAGTGCAATCATCTTGTCAAATGCAGAGGCTCCATCGGCTGCAAAATAGTCCAGTCCCTGGAGGCTCTTTCTGACCGTCGCGCTACAAGCAGCTAATACACGCAGTATTGTTCTTTTACTGAAAGGGGTGAATCTGACTTCTTTGCAATACTGCTCATATTGAACAGCAATTCGCTCTGGTATTAGACACCGAATCACATTTGGTACTTCCAATACATTACCGTTGGACAGGCGTAAACTCTTTTGACCAAAAGGCATATCTTGAACAATATGTGACCCTCCACAGGAGTTTGATGCTAAAGGTGAAAGCACGCGCATGACACGCTTGCACGACACGCTTAGCGTGCCGTAGATCACGGATATGCGCATATTAAATTGAAAAAACAAAGACGGACACACTTGCCTTTGTTTTGGCAAATTTAACACGCTAGACCTTTTGTTTTTTTGTAGCGTGCCATATGTCACGGTAAGTGTGCGAATTATAGCACGGTTAGCGTGCAATTTTGGTAAGACACGCTGAACACGCTTGATTACTAAAACCACTAAGATGATAAAAATGGCTTGGGTTTTCAGCGGATTTAATCAGCATTAATAACTGGTCAAAGTGAATAAAATATACCAATTGAGACTGTTTTGGAATTTGATAGTAACCGTGGCCATTTGAAAATCACGACTTAATGGTGGTCTAGCCTGGAATTAACGCGAGATCAGTGTAAACCAATTCCTCCGGATACTAGGATGCATTTAGGAGGAAATCGCCGTCAGGTGCCCCTGACGAACGAAGCGCTATCAATCATAATTTATGTGAAGATATCTCGCTACGCTATGCTAAGACGAATCAAGCGCTGTAAACGTGTACTATATCTCGTTCTTCACAGGACGAAAAAAACAAGAATCTGTAAACTAAAAACACTGTAGAATGAGGGAGGATTGCGGGCGACTTTTCTTTGAATTTTGGGCGACAAAACTCATATTATCAGGTTTTGGACGACATACCTTCAAACGACATCACTTTCGAGTAGCTTGACCGTCACCCCTTTAAATCGAGCTCGATGAATTAATTCAAGGACCGAACTTTATGGAACAAATGATTGCCTTCAAGAATTTCACGCGGACTACTTTTAATTTAGTTCTTTTTCTCTTTTCTCAGTGTGTGACTGACATAGATTTAATTCTCGGATCGAACTTTAGTACTCTAAACACGCAGTATTATCGTGGCAAAAACAAAGAATAAAAAAAAAGCACCATACAATTTCGGAATTCTGTTAAAAAATACTTTTTTGTTTACTATTCAAAAAGCGGTGAAACAGTCATTAATTAACTGATGTTTGTCTCCGTTGCACGCATCACTGACGCATGAATGTGTTATCAATCGTTTCTTGAGTACAGAAACAGTTAATCAGTTACGATGGAGCGTTCACGAAATGGCACACTGATGAGTTTAAATTCGCAAGATTTTGAAAATTTGGAAAGCGTCGAAGAACTGTATTTTGGTGAGCGAGAAACTGAAGATAATCAAGAGCCAGAAAATTTCTTTCTAGAAGAGAGCAGCTCAGAAAGTGAAAATGAAAATGATGAAGCTAACTCATGTATCGAGATAGGAGAAGCTGAGTTATCAGAGAAAGAAAAGATTGAAAAATTCATTGCAGATACTTGCAAGTGTAAGTTAGCAGAACAAGGAGCGGCTTGTAGCACTATCCTCTCAAGAGATGACTTTTATGACAGTCGGAACAACTGCCAGGAGTTGTCTTCAGCAGAGCTCGATCTTGTTATCCTTGGAGTAATTCAAAGTTCTTTGAACTGTGGCGACGTCAGCTTGTCAGGAAGAACAGAAAAACAGCGCGAGCGGACAAGAATGGTCTTCTCCTACCACGGTAGAAGGATTTGCAAAGAAACATTTTTATTTTTACATTCAGTCAGCCGAACAAGGTTCTGTAGCCTTCTGAAACATTATAAGAAAAATGGACTCACATTGCGAGTTCACGGAAACAGTAAGCGTTTACCAAGTAGCACGTTTTCTGTCGAAACTGTGGAGAACGTTGTTAAATTCATCATGAACATTGCTGAGGAGCAAGCACTTATCCTCCCTGGACGTGTTCCCGGATTTAAAAGAGTGGATGTGAAACTTCTGCCATCTGTTTTAACAAAATACAGCTTGTGGAAAACATACGAAGGGATATGTGCGAGTCAAGGTCACATCTCAGTCGGCTACTCTAAGTTTTGTGACTTATGGAATCAACTTTGCCCGTTTGTTTTGATCATGCGCCCGGCTACGGACCTGTGCTGGACATGTCAGAAAAATAACAATTTGATTCAAAAGACGGTGAATCTTCCGGAGGAACAAAAGGTAGCTGCTGTAAGAGCACAGGAAGAACATCTTCGACTATCAGCGGGTGAAAGAGAACTGTACAAGAACTGCTGTAATCAGGCGAAAGACGACGTTCAAAAACACTTTCGGGAGATTGACTTAAACGTCCGGCGCGAACCAAGCACATACAATGGCACTGTACACTATTCTTATGACTACGCACAACAGTTACACTACCCGTGTAACCCAAATCAGCCTGGCCCTATCTATTTTAAAACTCCTCGAAAGTGTGGGATCTTTGGCGTCTGCTGCGAAGCCATTCCGAGGCAAGTGAACTTTTTAATAGACGAGAGCGTTTTGACTGGTAAAGGGGCGAATAGTACTATTTCGTATGTGCACCATTTTTTTGAAAAGCACGGCCTCGGAGAAAAGAATGCCCAACTTCACGCGGACAACTGTGGACCACAGAACAAAAACTCTGCTTTTCTCTGGTATTATATGTGGCGAGTCATGAGCGGTCTTCATGTAGAAATACACTATCACTTCTTATTAGCCGGCCACACAAAATTTGCGCCCGATTGGTGCTTTGGATTATTGAAACAAAGAACAAGGCGAACATTTATTTCTTCACTCTTTGACATAGGTACATGTGTAGAGGAATCTGCATCAGTAAATGTGGCAGAACTCGTAGGTCTCTACGATGGAACGGTGCTTGTTTCCACCTATGACTGGACGAACTATCTTTCACAGTTTTTTAAGAAACTCCCTAAGATCAAATCATATCATCATTTTCGTTTCCACAAAGACTTTCCGGGAACTATTTTCTGCAAGAAGTACTGGAACTCTGAAGAAATAGCAATAAACATTTTAAGAAACGATGCAAGATTCCCTGAAGGTGGACATGCAGCTTCCACCCATAATCACCCCAAGCGGGATCAGCCGAGAACGCGCTCAGTACCTGTTTAAGGAAATAAGAGAATTCTGTCGGGACGGAACAGAAAATTTAGTGGCCCCACCAGTCCTAGAATAGCAATTTTAAGTGCCTGTATACAAGTTTTACTGAAATATTAAGTGTGTCAAATATTTCACTATTTTACAAAAGCATTATATGTTAACATGATAGGCGCATTGTACCTTGTAAATAAAATTTGGGAGCGCTGTAAGTTCTTATGTGTATTTTTTAAAACGACAATACGAAAAACATTAACTAAAGAATAGATAGAAACTAAAAAATGAAACGAGATTTTCCAATTTGGCAAGGGGAAAGCCGGGCACGACCTAGCTTTTAGAGGGTACTGTTCTTGGATCAGTAACGTGAACTGCTGCTAAAAAAAAGTGCGTTGTCATCTTGTTTCCTATTTTCCCAAATAGTATAGACTTAATTAGGCTGAAAACAAGCACATCGAAATTTTCGAAGAAACAGTAAAAACTAGATCTTCTTCTACTTGACGCAGTGGTGTCTTGAACAAAAGTTTTTCGTTGACTCGGGCGTTCTAAAAGTTCTTCAGCGGCTTATTAACAAACAATACGCTTTTGACTTACATCAAAAGTCTCACCTTAAAAGCCGCGCGTGTGACTAACTCGGTCAAAAGTGTAAAGAAGGTAAACATTTTATTTGGGCTAATGGTTTAGCGTATTGAGAGCAGGATAACTGAAAACGGGTTATAATTTTTTTTTCATGAGAGCCAAATGAACTTAACCCGCCCAGTATCAGTGAACAATGCACTCTTGCATTAATTGCAAAGTCTCACCTTTAAAGCCGCGCGTGCGACTTATTAATAAGTGAAAAGAGCACTGACCGTAACCAGATAGATAAATTTAAAATTGACTTGCAGTGAGAACTAGCTTATTCGTTATTCGGACTAATGGTTTATTTTATTGAGACGATAATAAATAATAACGGGTGAAAATTTTAACTTTGAGAGCCGAATGAAATTTCCAGCTTATTAATAAAGTTATTGGCTTTTGACTTACATGAAAAGGCTCACGTCTAAAGCCGGCGCGTGCGACTGGAGTCTAAAGTACAATAAATTGCAGTGAGAACTCATCAGTTAAGTTTATTTGTTATTTGGGCTAATGGTTTAGCGTATTGAGAGCAGGATAACTGAAAACGGGTTATAATTTCTTTTTCAAGAGAGTCAAACCCGCCCAGTATCAGTGCACAATGCACTCTTGCAATAAATGCAGTCTCACCTCTAAATCCGCACGTGAGACTTAAGTCAAAAAAGCAACGACCGTAAACCAGAACGAGCGCTTTGACGAAATTTTTTGGTGAGATTTCGTCGAATTTTTGGGAGGGCAAAGAACGAAAAACACCGTGCATATCTTTTGCACAGTACTGTAAGAGAAATTTGGGAAAAACAGGAGCAATTGCGGCACCTTATGCAAAGCCGACTTTATCACTATCATCTTGCCGCTTTGTTACAGTGAGCGCGTGGGAGGCACTACTTTTCCACTCTTGGAGCCTATTTATTTCAAACCTATTGTTACCGTTTAGTTCAATTGATTTAAAAATGAAATAAAAAATCCGATTGTCTTTTGATCCGGTCAAATGAATTATTCTAGTATAAATACCAGGTCGAATCATTCTGTTGTTTACCTTATATCTAATCTGTACCAGAGGAAAGTAGATTGAATTCCAACATGGCTTGTCGCAACATCACCAAAATTCCCAAGCACTGCCTTGTTTATTTTAGTATCGACCAAACCACCAGTATTGTTGAAACAAAACGGCTGAGTAGAAAAGAAAATGGAGAGCCTTTTGTGGAAGTTGGCCCTCAAGGCAGATCTTTGGTGACTATTAAGTACAGTGGCAAAACACTAGATGCATTAGTCATTGCTTCGCATGGTAAGTGAGTCTGATGTTGCTTTATGTGGTTCATCATTGGGTGCGCTTGTACATTTGAAAAAAGTCATAAATTATTTGCCGGAAAACATTGAGTTAGTTTTCGTTTCTCTAGAAACGGTTTCAGTGGTTTAAGTCTCGACTAGCTTTCCTTCGACCTCTAAGGATTCATCAGCGAAAAGAATACACTCCTCATTTGCCTGATTAAAAACATTACATAAAATGTACCGCTTCTCCCCGAAGCAAAAAACCTACCCACGTCAATTCTAAATTTTGGAGAAAGGAAAGACCAGCAGGATTTGAATTTTTTTCTTTTAATTTTCAGACAACAAACAGATCCTTAAGCATGAAGAAACATCCTTCATCGAAGACCCAGCAAATGCTCACCTTTTTTACGACGAAATTCGTCCTGAAAAGAGACCGAATGAAGAGCCCCATTCGCGACAGAATGCAAAAAGAAGCAAGCAAGACAATGTAGACGAGGTACGTTTCGATTCCGTATTCAAAGCTACGGCTGTAAAAATTAAATCTGACGGATGCTTCTGTAACGTAAGTGGAATTATTTGAGACCACGTAATCCACCTCGTCCGAACTCAAAACCATTAATTTAAAGTTTTCTTTTAGTGCATCATAGACGTGGTAATGAGCGCGTGCATTTGTCTTGTGTAGAATTTGACGGTGAAACTAGTTTAGTTATTTACTATTACACTGCAATGTCTGCGTGGGAAGTGGCAGTAAAGGATCCTTGCTTTGTATTCAATACTTTTAGCGCTATTCGTCTTAAGTCATGCTTAACGGGCTTCGTTTGATTAACTTTCCGCTCAAGGCTTTGAAACGAAAACTGTTTGAAATCGGAGTGTACGCGTAAAAAAGGCAAATTAATACTGACGCAAGAAAAGTTATTGAAGCATGCTCAGAAGCGAGAGCATCGAAGGAAAAGACAGGGGCTCACCAACAACTGTATGTTTCGAAATACGTTAGTGTCTCAGATGGTTTTCTCTATACTTCAGAAGCATCAGGAGCACCTATCGACCCAATGTTTCCAAATACACCAGAAGTGTTTCCAGTGGTTTTCTCTGTGTTCTGTGCTGTGCGGAAGTTATTATGGCTGTTGTTTAACGATGCATATTTCTTTTAGCCTTTGTCGTGCTTTTAAATAGAAGGACAATATTTTAATTTCAGTATATATACTGTAATACAGAGTTTTGGAGTTTGTCCTCAGATGATTAAACTGTCTGGCTATACATAAAGGCCCAAGCATTTTAAATTTCGGACTAACTGGTTCTGGACTGGGACTCATGATTTTGCACTGAGATGAGTCCCAGGAATCACCATAACCATTTGTAACCAAATCACTGTATTTGAACAATATACAATTTAATCTCCCGAACAAAGTGAGAAGTTATTTCAAACATTACGGCTCTTCTTGATATAGCAGGTTGAGAGGCTTAATCAGTTCCTGGCAGAACAGCAGAAAAGAGAGGCACAGCGAAGGCAGCGACAAGCCACTGGAAGACGGGAGATTGGCATTCAATGCGACAAAGGAAATCCCGCTGTTAAGACGGCCGATGCAACGGTACAGACCGATTTTGAGGACGTAACGGACGAGCTAAGAAAACAAGTTCAGGATCTAAAGCAAGTAGTGGCAGAGTTAACGGCCTTAAAGAATCAACTCCGAGTATCTGGACAGACAAGTGACCCGCTGTTGACTGAGTTGTTGTCTGACAATCTTGACGATTTGACTGAAATCTACCCGGATAGCCCTACAGACATCCAGCTATCAGTCGCCGCTGCGAATTCCAATCTGGCCCTCTCCCAAGCATCTGCGGCTAACAGCAGTTCTTCGATTACTTCAGTACCTCCTCCAGCAGCAGCATCAATAATTACCAGAACCAGCTCTTTTTCCAGACCGCCTCCTTCAATCTCAAGGGTCCCGCTAGCAAGTATACCTCAAAACCAGCAGCTGCAGAATCCGCAACCTGGCCCCACAGAAGAGCAACAGAAAAAGGTAGAGGCCATAGTTGCATTAGGCTCCCAAATGTCGACCACTGCCATGGCTTGCGTGGACGTATTATTTTCAGAGAGAGAATTGGCCAACGGCAACACGGCAGGAAATTTTGGCTTCGAAAAGCTTAATGAAGAAAAGATGCGATTTCTGTCATCAATCTTGCGCCATAAGTTTGATTCGCCCTCATTTATGGAACAATGGGATAATGTTCGTACAAAAATAAACACTAAGTGTAGAGGAAAAAGAAGAACACTCGTAAAAAGGCTTCAAAGGCAAATTTGAGTTAAATTAAGAATTTACTGAGATAAGGTCATTTTTTTTTTCCGTGAAGTTAAGATTGTAATACTTAGTGTACCTGTTTTTCTCTTTCATGGCGTTTGTTTTTTTCTCATATGCAATGTAATAGGAAAGTGACATGGTAATTTTTCACTCTAAGGTTAGCAATTTGTAGACTGTTTCTTTAGAAATTAGTTCCTGTGTAAAAATTTGGTTGTAAATATAAAAGCGACTGTTTTTTGTATGTCTTATCTTAAATTCCGCTTTGTTTTAATTTAGCCCTCAAGGCACTACCAAGTTTCAGGAGGGTGACAAATCCACTCGTACATCAAAATAGGCGTTTAAAAGACGCAGTAAACTAGCGCGACATAATAAAGAATTATTTTCGCGCCGCTTAAATAATAGTCTGCTACACAGCCGTTTTCAGTGGAAGGAGCGTTGCGTGACAACACTAAAACGGCCGTGTAGCAGACACTTAAATAATTGTAGGGCGTAATACCGGCTGATGGCGCTAAATCGGTCGCCGTAACTTCATACGCGAATGTTTGTTTAGATGGTTGTAAAACAGACGGCAATTACAAGAAAGGCAGCGGGATGATTACGGAATTTGGACAATAAGGCTGAAGAATACGCGATGTGTAATATTTCAAGAAGAACAAATTTGCATACATTGTTTAAATACCGGTTTCGCTTTTTGTGTTATTGTCGGCCGGAAACGTTTTGGAATTTTGGTACATCTAGAAAAGCAGGCTGGTTTTCATTTGATCACTACGATTCTTGCAATCGCTAAAAAATAAATACAATTTAGCGATCCTGGCACTTGATGATTTCTATTTGATCGCTGCGATTGCTGCGATCGGCGAGAAAGTGACTTAATTCCGAAAGATCATTGTTTCTGAGAAAATTGCAAATGTCTTATAAATTAAGGAAAGTTTAGATAACCTTTAATTTGCACAACTTCGTCAGCAAACATTTCTGGAAAGACTCATAAACCCAGTAGGTCCCACCGTTCACTGTTTCTACTTTTCAAGCGACAACGTTTTTTTCAATCAGATACTATCGCTGCGATCGCTGAGATAGAACTTTTTCTTTCTCGATAGTTACCAAAAAAGGGTGCCGTTCATAATCATTTACGGTTCCTTTTTGTGGAGGAAATTTTTTTAGCTTATAGATAACACGCCTTGCGTGCTTTTGCGCACACTGAAAGCGTGTTGTGCTTTTTCGCACGGAGCTTTTGTTTGAAAACTTTAACATGCTCAATTGTCTCAAGCGTGTCCTCTGAAACAAAAGAAATTGCTAATGAGGCAAGATTGCAAGCGTGCTAAAGCGTGTTAAAATAAATTCTTTTGTTTTAAAGTGAAAGCGTGTCGTGCGCGTGCTTTCACCTTTAGCATTAAAATCCTGTGGAGGGTCACATATGTGGGCTTGTAATGAACTGCAAAAAATGGTCAAGTTGCGCCTCGTCTATCCGTATCCTCGCTGACGGCTGCACAGGAACGGGTGTCGCTACTCCGTGCTGAAGACGATGTAAGTTTGCCACAGTGTATCTATACTGGGACAGACCGGGAATAAATTCTCGTATGGTAGAAAAACTCGCAGTGGCAGTCATAATTGAGAGGATTTGTCTCCGCGTGTCCCAGCTGCCGGCATTTTTGTACGTTTCTGCTATGGCCTCGAGGTAAAGTCGTTGGAATGGGAGCATTATACCCTCTGCACCAAGCTCATCATTGACAGCCCTCGTTGCTTGGAGTGCCGACCAAAGATAACCTGCGTTTTCGGGGGACACCACCTTCAACACTGCGATGATGATATCTCTAGTGTGTTGTATGTACCTTCGTTTAGTTCTATCAGCACTCTTTAACCACTCGAATTGTGGATTATCAACCGTTTTTACGTCACACTCAGAAAGGAATTCATTAAGCAGGCTTAAAGGTTTGTTGGCACGAAGAACCACTTCACCGGAGCTAGTTGTACTTGTGGTTTCGGATGACCCAAAAATGTAGCTGTCGTCAAATGAAAGGTGTTTTACATTGTCACATATATCTTCTGTACTACTTGCCTCGGCTTCCTATAGGAGGGAAAAATATGAAAACTAATTAAATGATCGCAAACTAACGCAGGATACTGATTAAACCTATAGACTGCCTAACTGTTTAAACGACAATTACCAATAAAAACGTTTCCAGTCTTTTCTGTACGGACACGGGTTCAACAACAACTGTTGGTGAAGATAAGGCAGTTTCTGTAGAGTCCGTAGAAGTAGACACCATCATTTTACCCAGATGATCCCTGCATAGCCTGCAAATAGCTACAGATAAAAAAGAAACAGAGAAGAGTTAGGCACGGATACATTAGCATGGTAATAGAAGCGGTGGTATTCTAAGTCCTTCTCACTCATTAACGCTCACTCGTTCTTTAAGGTAACCTGCAAGGGGATAATTCGGGGTGGGAACCCGGGAGAATAGGGGGCACGAGAGGAAATCGCGCAACAATGCTTTTAAATATTTCGCAATCGAAGAATGGATAAAGGAAGGAAGCCAAGAAAAAGGGGCGGAAGCCGGGAATGCAAGATACTCAATCGAACACGGCAGGTGACCCCTGTTCCACCCCCTATATGGCTCTTCGGTCGGCTATTTGCTCCATGAGGAGAATTTCCAGCGATACTTTAGGCAAGGAGAGAGACCACTGAGTTAATTGTCTGCAATATCGGCCGTTTGTTGGTGTTCCTCATCCTCTTGCACATTGCATCCGTTACATTTGTGAAAGAGGGTCAAAGCAATAAGAGTGTATTAGATTAATTTTACATACTTTTCCTACTAAAGTAATGTAAGGTTTGACTACACTTACGCGACCCAACTGGGACGAGCATTCCAGTTTCTTTAAAAACAAAACAAGATTGTTTTCTGTCAATTCCACGATCACCTGAACAGGTTGCCGACTTGTGACCCGCTACTTCTGCTGGAACGCAACATCTAGTCTTGCCTGTTCGCCAGCGAGTACCGTACGCGTCTCCGTGTTTAGGGCATACCGTCATATGCAACTGACATTCCTGTGCGAGGAAAATCCCTGGTAAAGAAAACTTAATTAGTAAATTAATGCTGTAGAAGTGGATAGTGGGTATGTATTGATGTTGTAATCGAAAATGGTAAATCAAAATGATCTTTACTAACCTGCCCGTGTGAGTAATAATTTCCTTTCGTTGTTGACGCTTTCAACATCCGTCAAAATGTTACAACACTTCAGGTGAGCTGTAACATCCCTAGTACAGTCTTTCAATTCGACAAAGTCAGCCAGTTGCAGAAAACGTTGCTATTCCACTAAGAATGATGTCCATAATAAACACCTAGTCAACAAAAATCATTAAATGGTGAATAAAACAGCGGCCCTTCTCCATAGTTAGGTGTAGTGCTTTTGAAATAGCGAGTCAACATTAACAGTCTCCTGCAATTCAAATTATCGTATCCACACATCAATTTACAGCCCCGTTCAGCAATGTCTACGGATTTTATATCGTATAATTTCATATCATTTCCATATCTAAGAATTTTTTAACCGTCTTTAACTATCTTGTTTACTTCGTAGCTCTCAAGTACGATTTCTACAACTGATTTGCATCATGCAAATTCCTGACCTTTGCCACAGTGCGACGAAAACGCTTTCATTTTGCCGGCACGTTTCTGGATTACCCACATTTTTTATTTCATATTATTTGAGTATAAGGACCAAACTTTGTGCCAGCATGTAGTTTGACATGATGTCACACATACCAAGACGCGTTTTGAAGGCTTGAAGTTGCTCAATTTTTCGCTTTTTTCAGCAAGCGTTTGACAGCACCTTGTTGAAAAATCATGTGAATTTTAAAATTAAACCAAAGCTTCTTAAAATGCCACAAATAAAAATCAAATGAATTATATTTTGAAGTAAAATCATCCCCGATTTCTTACGAAACATCCTTCTTCAGTACTAGCACACTAAAGTTGGTCAATTTCACTGTATTTTTTGCATAATTAATTAGATAAAAACCCGAATTTTCGTTTTTCCCCATTTTCTCGGAAACATTCGATTTTTCAAACTTTGAAATATTTTTTTGGAATGTATCTCCCTAAAAGGGTTTTCCAGGTAAATTATCAGAATTTTCGATTTTTTTAGCCTGGCCAGCGATTCTCGATATTTACAGTCATGAGCTCTTAAGAAATAAAGAAAAAAGTTGTTTATTTAAGTATATAAGTGTGTTTAGAGGAAAATATAGATATGAGGTGTTAAGGTATTTAGGTTGCATTCTGTCTGACCCTTAAAAATGGTTTGATCACACGCTTGAATATACTAACAAAAAGAGGTTTACTTGAAGCCTTGTAGTCTGCTTTAGAGATCGCCCGGACTGCTCCTTTCTGTAGTAGGTAAATTCGTTGTAGGTTGGTGACATAAGTAGAGGCCCAAATTAAATTGCAGTAATTAAGATAGGGATAAATAAGTGCACAGTATAGTGTTAGAAGAGATGTTGAGGGCAAATAGTATTTAGCTTTATCAAGTAACCCGACAGATTTAGAAATCTTAGCCGCAATAAAAATTACATGAGTTTTCCACTCAAGGTGCTGATCAATATAAACTCCAAGAAACTTAGTATTGTCTACTTGTTCAAGTACATTGTTTTCTAAAATTATCTGCCTTGTGATAGGTAACGTTTTTTGCCTTGGCCTGAAAATCATTAGTTTAGTTTTCTTAACGTTGATTGATAGCTTATTGGCTTTTAGCCAAGTTGAAACATTGTTGAGCTGGTCGTTAAGATGGGAGGTAAGTACATCCAGGTCACTGTGTTCAAAAAATATGCTAGTGTCATCAGCAAATAATATAAATTCAAGTTCATTAGAACAGGCTGGGAGATCATTGATATAAAGAATGAAAAAGAGGGGGCCTAGTATAGAGCCTTGCGGCACACCACAAATTTGTTTTAAAGCATCGGATTTAGAATTGCCAATTTGGACAAATTGTATTCTATTACGAAAATA